TACATCGGATAGATCGTGGCCGTAGATCTACGGCCACATCGACGGTAGACTTTCCAACTGATGTCCCCATCAATATCACTTGAGACATTATAATAAAAAACACTATTATAGTTTTCCTCTTGTGATATCTTTAAGGAAAAAGGAGAGCCGCCTACTGTTGCGCCACTTTCCAGGAAGAAAAGAGGAGAAGAAGGCTTGCCCAGACACTTCAGAGGATGCCGCTACTTGTGTCAGGGGTTTAAGAGGGCTTGCTCACCAGCTGGGAATGCAAATTGGTTATTTCAATTCAGACCCTCGGAGGATTTTGTTCATGTAATAATAAAGTGGCCATCTGTTTCTAAATATCTTCTTTGAATAGAATTGAGCTGACCGCTTCCTCACCAACTACAAGGTAGCGACTTCAATGGGTTGAATGCATGATTGTACTCTTTGATTCCTTGAAATTTCTTTGCATTTATGATCATTTTGATGAATGACAATCATTTGTCTCTGAACATTAAGAAGATGCAACCTAGACCAGCAATTCCTCTTATGAGTCACCAAACCGTTTAGCAATTCTTGATGGTGACATCTCCAAAATTGCTTAGACTATCAAGATTCACCATTACACCTTCCAGAGTAAAAAGAATGCCTATAAACTTCCCTAAAATTTATCTATAGATGCATTTAAATGAAGTACGACTTCATTTGAAACGGTTTTCTTCTTGCTTTCTAAAGCAACTTTCTAGTAAAAAAAAATCTTGAACAAGAAATTTTTGTACTAGAAAGCTGCTTTAGAACATAGTAAAAAAGTCATCCCAAATGAAATTTAAGATGCACATTATACTTCTTTTTCTTGAAGGTCTTTGATATGTTAAGCTAAAGTCTTTCTTTTCACAAGCAAGTTGTAGACATAAATATTTCGACTTTCCTATCATTTAAAAGGGTTGTCCATCATTCACTGGTAAGTCATAAAGTATTCTTCAATCCAAATGGCATGATACAGTAGTAATACAAGCCATCATAGGTAATGAAAATTGTCTTCTCCCAATCAGGAAGATACATATTTGTGAAAGTATCAAGAAAGCTCGTTACAAAAAAGTAAATTGTAAAGTTAACTAGAGCTTAATCCATAGAAGTAGGGAGTTATCCTTTAGATAAGTATGGTTCAACTTGATGAAATTGATGCACATCCTCGACTTCCCAAAAGCCTTTTGGACCATTATAACATTTAAGATCAAATCCGGGTACTAGATTTCTTGGATGAAGCCAAAATTAAACAACTTCTAGACCTTATAGCGAAAGGCTTTGCAAAAGTCATGGCGACTTGGCAAATTCCCCGTTTGATTGATCTGGCTAACTTATCAATGTTTAATCAATGGCAAATGATATTGAAGTTTACTCCTGGAGTTGCGCTAAAAAACAAGGCAAAGGTATAAATATTCAATCAGAAGCCATCAACGAGTTGAACTTGGTGATATGAATCAAAAGAAACATTGATGCATAAACTGCGAGTCAGCAGACGACGTTTCTTCAATGGCCTCTAAAGCCTCAGGCCAACTCCCTTTTGAAATTTGGTTTGCAAAGTTTTACATTGACGAATTCAATTGCCTTGGACAGCATGCTCGAGATTGCAAGTATATTGGATAGTGAGAGTTCAAATTCTCAAAAGAAACTTCATTGTGACATGGTAAGTCAAGATGACTTCATTGAATGTGTTCAAGAGAGATCAAATAAAGATGACATTGTAATTTGTTGGGGCATCAACTGATGAAATCCTTCATTGCAATGTCCAAAAGGCTCTCCTAATACACAAGTAAATGGTAGCACAATCTAGCCTTAGCCTCCCTACATTGACGTGAAATACCATGAGAAGGCCATAAATGGGCAACAACCAAGAAGAATCAATGATCATTTGATTAAAACACTTTTAAAGATAATGCTCGAAAATTTTCCTATATTTTCAAGATAAAACCGATTTGATAGTTGGCCATTAGGGCAATAATGACAATGACTTAAATAGAGGGACTTTTTGTTTGCGATCATTCAGTGTCATTAAAGGTGATGGGCGCTTCAGAAGATGATGGCAAACTTGACGTAACTTGAACCTCTCCTTAACGGAGTTGCTCGAGGCTTTGCTTATCGTAAAGCATTAGCACAAGCTCTGCCAAGAATCTTCTTGGATCATCCCAGCTATGGATCGGCCGTGTTGAACTTCATTCTTGTTCACCTTAGTAGGCACCTTGTTTAGACATCGTCTCAAGTCGGCAAAGGCAAACTATTTATAAGCTTATTCGAGCAGATAAATCTTCAATGAGGCTTTGAGGGTTGCAGCAATCCTTTTTATTGTGATTGTGATTTTTTGTGAAAGACGTGATAGTTAGAGAGGTCATGAGTTGATGTTGTTTTACAGATTGATGATGGATAGCAAAAATATTCCTTGTCACGCTGTTAGACCGGTCCATTGGATCAGTCCAGCCGGTCTACACAGGACCGGCCCTGGCGAATAAGGGCGGAAATCTCCGCCTCTTGTACGCCCTGCCCAATCCGCCGGATCCAATGGAGTTGTTTAGGAAGGTTTTTTAAGAGAATTATGAGGGAAATTTGAATGTAGGGATTGTTTAGGGATTTCCTTTTGATTTGTATGCATTAATAGTTGGTTTTCATAGGGTTAGGGAATCTTGAATTTGGGCTGAAATTTGAGATCTCTTAGATTTAGGTTTTCTTTTGGGCTCTAGTGGCGTCTAGAGATTAGGGAGAGCGATCATTCTCTCAAATTGAGGATCAACTATATCTTGTTATTTCTCGTTTCTATTTCATCAAATAATATAAAATTTCTACTGTTTTTCCTGTTTTTGTGTGAATTTTTGTGGATAATTATCGCTGTTTTTCAAAGATTGATAGGAAATACTTGAGATCTACAAGTGTTTCCTATAAAGATATCAAGTATTTTCTATCAAATTGGTATCAGAGCAATTTTTTGGACCTTTGGTGGGCTGTTTTGGTGAATTTCAACGGTTTCTCTTGGGATTTCGAAGAAGAAAGTTGATGTTTTCGAAGGTTGAAATCCATATTTTTATTTCTACAAAAATTCGGGCGTCGATGGCGGCCAAGAAAATGGATGCGTTAGAGGAACGCCTCGAAGTGGAGATTGGACAAATGAAATCTGGAATTTCAGATCTCCAAACTCAAGTTTCAGATTTAAAAAAAAAAGATGTTTCAGCCATCCATGATAAGTTCGATTCAAAATTTTCTATCCTAGATGAGAAGTTGAAGAAAGTGCTCGAGGGCCAAACTAAAATATCGCGTCGGAGGTGAGGGAAGGCGCCGACAGCCACGGATATGGGAAAAACCCTAAGCCAATCAGGCAAAGAGGAGATCAGGAGGTGGAGACTCGAAATGGAGAAGAGAAAATACCTCTCCTAAAGCCTATTTCTAGGGAGGAGCCGGGTAGAGGGAATAAGGAGAGACGTGAAGAAGTAGGGCAAGAATGAAGATGTGCTAATTTGAAGAGGAGAGGGGCTAGATTAGAAAGAAAAATGGGTAATTATGATCAAAGGGGGTCTGAATTTGAGAGGGGAAGAGTTTGTTATGATCCAAAGGGTGCTGAATTTGAGAGGAGAAAGTGAGAATTTGATGAAAGGTTGGGGTATGAACGTAAAAGGGATGATTGGGATACTTGGGGGAAACCACCCCCTTGGGGAATGGGAAATTATGGAGGGTTGGGGAATGGGAAATTATGGAGGGAACAGAGGGAACAGAGTCGATCCGAGGGTAGGGAAATTGAAAATACCAATCTTTGAGGGGGAGGATGCGCATGGGTAGATCTACAAGGTCGAAAGATATTTCACGGTCAATGGGTTGACGGAGGAGGAGAGACTGACGACAATAGACCTATGTTTGAAAGGGAAAGCTTTGGCTTGGTATCGATGGAGGGACATGTGACGACCCATACGAAGTTGGAGGGAGTGGGAGTTCAAGGATTGTTTGATAGAACGTTTCCAAACCAGCAGGGGAGGAGACTTCTACGAGCAGTTCTTCGCCTTGACGCAGGATGCTTCAGTGATAGAGTATTGGGAGAAGTTCGAGTACCTTACTAGCCGATTGGACGGCCTTTCTGAGACAGTGCTAGAGGATAACTTCATGAAGGAATTAACACCGGAGATTCGGGCAGCGGTTAGAGTAATGAGGCCTTGTGACTTGTGAGAGGCTATGGAGCTAGCTCAATTGGTAGAAAATCAGAGGCACCTGGAGAGAGAGACATGAGACCCGTACAAGATGACCACCACGTTATTGAAATCTACGGAGCCAACACCGGATATTCTTCGGGGGACCTTGAAGGAAAAGAATGCATGAGGAAGACTTGGGGACTGTTTAGGGATTTTCTTTTGATTTGTATGCATTAAATAGTTGGGTTTACTAGAGTTTTTCAATTGCTTTTGGGCGCTAGCTAAGTGATGAACTATCACTTTAAGCAAATGATAGAAGTGATGCTACATGGAGGAAGGTGGGATAACCACCACAATGGCGCCTCTTTAAAAGTAGTAAAGATCCTATGAGATTTTACAAAGTTGCTCATAGTGATAAGGTAAATATCCAGATAAAATCAAATCATTATGTGGATTCTTAATTAATTATGAATTAAAATTAAATCTTTCACTTTACTCTCTCTCACTAAATTACAACTCCTCTTCAGTCTCCTGATATCTCTCTCATCTTAAATTGTTACATTACCCTTATAGTACTATATATAACAACAGGTCCCTCTTTTTTCTTCTCGGAAGCTCATCTCTTCAATTCCCTTACATCTTCCTAAGGAAGAAATCAAGTCAACTTTCAAGAAACTGAAGAGAAAGAAGACCAAGAAGGGGATCCACAACATCCCATCATCAAATTGCCATCAAACGATTCTCCGCCTAAATCAATGGTATCAGGCAATGTTTTTCTCCATGAAATTTCTGTTGGCCGTATTAATAAAAGCATAAACTCAGAAAGAAAAATAGGCACAAGATTAATTAGTATCTCCCATAGATATTGATATATATGCAACAAGAAAAAAATGCATACATGAATAGGCACATTCATAGTTAGACTATTTACTATTATGGAGACATCTCACATGTGTGACAAAAATACAAATGTGCACATAAATGTAGACATGCATAAAGGAAGCATAAATATAGATACCTATCTGGATTAATTGTTTTTTTGAAGTTCTCAAACCGCCTATGACCCTGCACAGCCTTTGCCATATTTCCATCATATGTGTAAATAAAAACATCGCTCTGAAGAGCAACAACATAGTCCAACCCAGCAAGCATGTTCTGGTGATTTCTGAAAGGTCTAAGTTCGTCTTCTGAAGACAAGGTTGAATGAGAGTGAATGTGTGGAAAATCATCTGTAAGATACTTCATGCTACCATTTCCGAAGGCTTCACCAGCCACCAAGTATATGCGTGTGCTTGATGGAAATCCCAATCCTTTGAGGAGAAGGGATGTTTCCCTCGGAGTTAAAGGACAACCACCCTGCTTTCGTCTCTCAGAACCATCAATCTCCTTCTCCTTCCAATGGCTCACTTCATAACGCATATCTCGGAGTTCCTCCGCTTCACTTTTTGTCAAATTATTGCTACAACCTGTAAAAGCAAGCATGTCTTCTTCATATCTGCAAAAAATGAAAATCAAATCACTTTTTAAGCCTGCAATGTGATGCTAAAACCAACAAAAAAGGACAAACGAATAAGAAAAAACATATAAAAAGAACATGCATAATACAAAGCAAAGCGTGTTAAGGCAGTGTATTACTACAAGTGGTGTCAATGAAAGCTAATTTGACCTTTGAATAAGATTGCTAACAGGTACAACAAAACAAAGAAACAATTCTTTTGTACAGAAAAATAATAATAATAATAATAAAATCTTTGTACAGAATTTAACATTTCTTAACTAGCGCACAAAATTGTTTTACCAACCATTGGATGTAGAAACTCTAAGCTGCAACTGTCAGAATCATAAAATAAAAAAATAATAATTAACTCCAACTGATAAAAACATATCAAAGATGCTACTTGTATTCAGAAATGACTCTGTGGGGCTAATTTGGTTCAAGTTTTCAAGAAGTAATGCTTTATGAATGACAATTCATTTCGAAAGTACAAGGCCCATTTTAAAATGGAGAAAAGTTTGGTTAAGTGTTAGAAGGAATCACCAATTTAATGGGGTGATAATAGCAAAATGGTTCTGTATGAACACAACAATCTACGCATGGAAATAGCACTACAAATTGGATTGCAGCCATGTCAGACACAAGCCAGAAAACATCACTGCAGCTTTAATTTATAGGATGCACTTTTTATCTAAGTTCAAATCAAACATTGTTTCATTCTTTTTAAAACACTCAGCATTCAAAAACCCATGTATCCGTCCTCTCTAAATGGCTCTCTTTGTTTCATCGAGAGTGTTACATTTCTTGGAGGAAGAGAGGTACTTCTTCATCTTAGATGTGAGAGAGAGAGAGAGCGGGAGAGAGAAGGGAGCTAACAGGAACCTATTCATCTTTTGAATTTATTACAAAGGGGCTTTTACCATCATCCTACAATGCCTATTTATAGGCATTTACATATGGTGTAATAACTCGCAGATCAACCTGATGTGAGATAAACATGCGGCAAGAGTTGCTTAGGTTTTAACAATAAATATTGAACATAAACTTTGCTATTTAAGAACTTATGCTTCACTCAATTCAAACTCGTAGAATTTTTCAATAAGAGATTAAGTGATGACAAAAGTTACAAGTAGGATAACAGGACAATCTCAATAACTACGAAACAAAATAATAATGTTAATAACAAGTAAACAAGAATCCACAGCGTAACATCAAGATATGGTCACTTAGAGTTCTTTCTCACTCAATCACTCTTAGGCTTTAGCGAAGGAGTACGAAGCACACGAGGAGAGAGATTACCACTAAAAAGATGGCGCCAAGGATCTTCGTCGGTGGAGAGGTAGCCGGCGGTGGAGGAAGTTGTGGATGACCAACGATTATCCAACGACCCGGTGGAAGGTGCTCTTCAATCAACAATGTCAGTTGGTACAATATGCGGTCGATGTACCCTTCAACAGTTTCGTTGTTGCCAAAGAAGACGTCAAAGAACGGGGATCCAAGAATGTTCGTCCTTCCTTGATCGTCGAATACAAATCTGTGGTCGAATTCAGGATCGACCATGCACCAATTATGAGGTTGGGAGGAGAGGTTGTATTCTTCTCTTGGCTTCAAGTTTCATGAGCAAACTAAGGTTTCCCAAGAGAAGGGTTGCAAGGGAAGGAGCGGCCAAGGTAGGGAGAAGGGGGGCGGGTGGTTTGGATGAGAGAGCTTAGGTTAGGTTTAGGAGAAGATGAGATTTAATCCAAATCTGAAAATAATTTCATATTTTGAGTAAATTTGGAGGGAACTAATTTGAAATTTGAAACCAAATTAATTAGGGATGGAGCCTCATTAGGAAGCCAAGAGGGAATTTCCCCTACATGTGGCCGGCGGCATTAAGAGGGAGAGGGGAGGGGATTATGGAGAAATTAAACACTTTCCAAACAAGTTGAGGCCAATTAGGAGGGAAAATAATAATTCTGCTCTAAATGAAATTTGGATTGGGTTCAAATTTGAAAACTTACCTTATTTAGACTATTGTAAATATGGAAAGTTTTGAGTTTCAAAATTTTCTATCTTCTCCCTTTATTGCAATAACCAAATTAGGGGGTCATTATGATGATTGAAATAATCATAATGATTGGGAATATAGATGGGGCCGACGGTCAAGGAGGGAAGGAGGAGGCTAGGTGTCGAGTTGGGGTGGTCCAGAGCTAGGCCGACGGGTGGGGGTTTGGAAGAGAAATTTGGTGGGATAAAGGGGAGATATTTTGGTTGCGGGAAGAAGGTGGAAAGATGACGAGGAGCCGGTGGGAGAAAACGGAACTAGAATATATAACGTAAAAGAAAACCACAAGCCACAGACTCTTCTGGTGACTGGTGGGTATTGCGCTTACCCACTCGTTGGGCTCTCCCTTCTCTCTAGTGCACTCACAAGAAGAAGAAGATAAAATAAAATATCATATCATTCATCATCCTACTACAACACATAGGTCCGCTATATATAGGCCTCTAACATGAAAAAGGAAAAGTACAAACTTGCCCTCCGGGCTACAATAACAAGACACTCCCCATAAGGATAAAATCGAAAAACAACAAAACTAAATAAAGCATAATGCATACATCAAAACTAAATAAAACATAATGCGTCAAAAGTAAAGACGCTAAATCATAACCATCGATCTACGATTCCGTCGCCAATACACGTGTCTGAATCTCTGAGTGATGTCCTCATTACAACCTAATCTAAAATCGGACCAATACACAACAATATCCACCATGGTCCGATTTTACAATCAAAGAACCACATGTGCGTCTTTTGCGATTTGACCAGCTCCCTGCACTAACTCCACTAGCAAACCCGCAGAACCGAGCCCAATACCGCTCGCGATCTGCCTTCACTGTGCGTTCCGATCCACGGCTTCAGCTTGCGCTCTCGCGCATTCTAACCCACACGTGCCTGCACCCGTTGTTGTGCCTCCCGTGATTTGCCGATCGTGCATTGTGCATTGCCTACTGCATGCTTCTGGCCCACGCATTTGCTCCTACGCGGCACGCCCACGCTCCAGCATCGAGAACACTCCGACTCACCAATCTTCCTTGGGCACCCGTGCGAGCTCCAACAAGCGACATCGCACGAGCCTCCCATATAATTTTGAGTCTACAACCAACATACTGCCCCGAGATTCTTCATCTTGCTAGTTTTGATCTCCGCTGCTTCGACACACCAAAATTGTTGATCCTGCTTGCTGGTTTTCCCTTTTTAAAACTCTACCTCAAAAGATCATAATTGATACTAGAACAAATTCTTGCTCTCATACTGATCTGCCGCGAACAAGATTGCAAGTTCTGTTGTTCTTCTTCCACTTCACAGGTCAACCTTCAAGCATTTCCTTATTCTTCAACTTGTTCAACAGCTCCCTCATTGTAAAAGTTCAGCTTCCTGTCCCATCAATATTATGCTCGGACTTACTGGACGGGACCGAATTCTTCTCCTTCATCCCGACATCCACTTCCTCCACTGGCTTCCTTTGCTCACACAAAACGTGACTCGTCCGCAACCTAACTAGCCACCCGTGGCACCCCGCACTCTGTGCATCCATGAGGAACGCCCGTGCTCACACCATTGCGCGTTTGGCCCAGCCAGCGTCCGCCTGTACCCAACAACATTCGACCGGCCCACCTGTGCAATCTCCCGCACGCGCGCTTCCGACCCAGGTGACCACAGGATGCACCACACATGGAACGTCTTTTGCTTAACCAAGTGGTCGCCTTCTACCCGCGCCTGTACCAGGCCTCTTGTCTGCCTCTGAGACTGCTTCTGCACCTATCCGCCTCGACTAAAGCCCCACATCCAAGAAACATACCAGACTTTGTTGCACGTACGAGAGTACGAGACCCACGCAACAAACCGCTCCAAGAGGTCTCCCTGCTCCCTTGAATACAAGAATCTTCCTCATTCCTCGAGATCGCCTCAATGAGGCTCTAATATTACTTGTTATGATTCTTACAAGAGGAAGAAGATGATGAATCTTCTTGATCTTGAATGAGAGAGAGAAAGAGGGAGAGAGGAAGCACACATAAATCACTTATTCCTTATTCATGAGCTATTAAAAGGGGTCAAATTACATAAGCCGATAAGCCTAAACATCCAACATATAGGAATTTGGACACTGGTGTGATGTCTCTGTGGAACCACTAATCCTCAAACTAGCTAAAATACAACAATCTCCATCTTGGGCCAAATTTTACCCAACAAAAAAATAAAAGACCACTTGTTTACAAGAACTCACCCTTGCCACAATTCGACTAGCTCCTTGCACTAACTCCACGAGCAAACCCACTAAACCAAGCCCAATTCTGCTTGCGAACGGCATCCAATGTACATTCTGATCTACGGCTCCCGCTCACGCTCCCATGCATTCTAAACCACATGCACCTGTGCCCCTCGCTGTTCCTCCCGTGATCCGCACGCTCATGCCCTGTACATCTTGCTCCCGCGCAACATAGCCACTCCAACACCGAGCAACCTTCAGCTCATCTGTCTTCCCCGGGTACTTGTGTGCGCTCTAGCCAGCAACTTCGCACAATCCACCAGTCCAATCCTGAGTTCGTTGCCCGCTTCTTCCACACTCTTGTGTGGTTTTGCTCCGGGCTCTTAATCGATTGTTCTGACTGCACGATCAACTCCACCTATCCAATCTCATCTCTTTGCCTGCTTGTTGGTTTGCCCCTAATCAAACATAGACTCCACCTAAAAAATCTAAACCGATCTTTAATCAATAATTTCTACATTGTTCCTACAATCTATTAGTACCCGAGCCATGTCATATCTGTTTGTAACTCGAATTCGACCACAAGAACACATCTCACACGCGCTCGCCCACGTCACGTGCTTCCCTGCCTGAATTAAGAAGCCCACGCATTGCCCCTCTTGCCTGCATACCCCCGCGTCTGCCCGCATGCACCAATCGACTGAATCCGCATGTTTGCTCACATGTAATCGTCTGCTACCACAAGCTCTGTGTGTTTTCCTAGCGCCATGCGCCCCGCGAGTCCTCCCGAGCCCATAGCCCTGTGTGTGTCTTCTGTGATCGCAACACCAGGCCGCTCTGCACACACCTAGTCTACTCCCACATGCGAGCAACTGCACCTATGTCATGTCCTTCATGCAATCTTGTGTGCTCCACTCCAACCGAACAACCGCACCCGCTGTCTTATGCGATCGCGATCCAAGAACCAGGCCGCGAGAACCGCACCTCCTACCTTGCATTTGCACAGAGCTTGCCCGCATGCATCCGCACGTTCCGTGCGCGACACCTGCACTTAGCCTGGATTCCCTCTTCTCCTACTTTTGTACGTGCCCAGCGCAGCTAGCTCACGCTTCTAATCCTCTTTGATCCGGTAAAAGACCATGGCATCTCGTCACCTCCGCCTACTTGCGCACGGGATTGACCAGCACAACCTCCTGCAACACCGGCAGCCCGACCGCTCCCCTTTTTCTTGGACAAGAACCTTCCTCAAAATCACCTCAACAAGGCTCTTATACCACTTATTACATTTATTGGAGGAAGAGAGGTTCTTCTTCGTCTTAGATGTGAGTGAGAGAGGGAGAGAAAAGGGAGCTAATAGGGACCTTTATTAATCTTTTGGACTTATTACAAAGGGGGTTTTTACCATCATCCTACAATGCTTATTTATAAGCATTTACACATGGTGTGATAACTAGCAGATCAATTCAATCTAAAATTGGACCAATACACAACAAAAAGAATAAGATGTTTTCAATCAGTAACTTTTAATGTAACATACTGACAATATAACTAGTGTGAATGTGTCATTATATAGTATCAAACATATTGTTTCTATGATAACATCATGACATACAGCAGAAAGCTGAAAGCAACAATACAACAAGATGTAAAGCCAAGACAATTTTATGTTGGGAATAGATGAGGATGAGCAAACATCACAATGACGAAACAAGCAAGAAAGTAAAAGCAGCGGAAAAGTATAGAACGCCAAGATTTAATGTGGAAAAATCTAAAATAGGAAAAAAAAACACAAAGCCAGCCACACCAAGAAATCCACTATGAAAATTGAGAGAAATAAGTGCATATCTCTTTTCCCTCACTCTCTCCTTGCTTCTCTTCTCAGATGCACTGCTCTCACTCTTGCTCTAACTAAAAATACAAGAGAAAGCAAAATAAAATAACTCCAAGGGATGCAACCCTTCAGAAAGTAAGAAAGAAAACCATACATTTCTTCTCGCAACACTATAGCGCCCAGTCTTTGTTTGATAATGTTGCAGTGCTTAAACACTCATCATTGTTGCGCTCAGTCTCTGTCTTGACCCGCTGTGGCGCCATATCTTTACGTCTGCGATGTTCTGCACTCTGTCGTTCAGCGTTGGGGCACTCGGATACAAAGCGTCGGGGCTTTGCACCCAAACCCAAGCAAGGGGTAGCCATACCCCTCATCATACACGACAAGCTTTGAGGTCCGAGACAACATAATAATCAGATTGATCAACACAATCAAATTCCACACATAATATTTTTTGCTGTAAAGTTTGAATGAGC